GGAGGAAGATTGGAAAAAGTGAGGGAGGACGGGAAAAAGAGTGAAGGAGGAGGGGAAAAAAGAGTGAAGGAGAAGAGGAAAAAAGTGGAGGAAGAGGGGAAAAGGTGGAGAAAGGGGAGAAAAAGAGTGAAGGGGGAAGAGAAAAAGAATGAAAGAGGAGGAAAAAAGCGAAGGAGGAGGGAGGAAAGAGTGAAGGAAAAAAGAGTGAAGGAAAAAAGAGTGAAGGAGGAGGGAAAAAAGTGGAGGAAGAGTGGAAAAAGTAAAGGAGGAGGGAAAAAAGTGAAGCAGGAAGGGAAAAAAGAGTGAAGGAGGAGGGAAAGAAAGTGAAGGAGGAGGGAAAAAAACAGTGAAGGAGGAGGGAAAAAAGAGTGAAGGAGGAGGGGAAAAAAGTGTTCCTTCACGGTGCTTTTGTTTTCTAACAACGTTGACATTCTGTGGAGTAACTGAGTATAAAATCTGCCTCTGGTTTGGGAGCTGGTGAGCAGGAAAGATGTGATTATCCAGCTTTTTATGCCTCTTTACTCTGTCTGGATCAGAGGAGATAAATGTGCCGATAGGAGCCTCAGCTCCCATCTTTATTTAAGCTGTCAGGTACCTGCTACATTATTTTATGGTGATTGTTACAGAAAGCCTCCACAAAGAGATCTATGTTTCTATATTCCCCCCTGTTTCCTATTTTAATCTATAATTCGATGATAAAAGAGATGTATTTCCCCGTGTTATTTTCATTTGGAGCCTCGGCGCTTCTCGCTCGCTCTGATTTTTCCTCCAAATAAACATTGGCAGTCGCAGAGCACTTAAAATATGCACAAAATCAATCTTCTCTCTCCTCTTTTGGGCTCCCTCTTGACTGGTGGTGCAGGCAGACTTTAATTTAGGCGCTAACAGGGAAGGATTCGTGGGATACAAGGGGTTCCCCGGGTGGCCGTCGGTGCCCTTGGCCACATTTCCACGTCCACAGGGATCCCACGGATAAACTCGGGCACATCTGCACGTGGAATGAGGTGAAAAATGCATTTGTCTGGGTGAAGGAGTCAACAGAGCCAGGAAAATGTTGGAACAGGTTTGGCAGAGGAGCTGTGGCTGCCCCCGGATCCCTGGAAGTGTCCAAGGATAGATTGGATGGGACTTGAGCAACCCGGGCTAGTGGAAGGTGTCCCTGCCCACGGCAGGGGAGTGGAATATTCATGACTTTTAAGATCCCTTCCAACCCAAACCATTCCATGTTTCTGTGATATTAATGTGGGAACTTGCAGGAATTGGATTTTCTTGCTGTTGGTGCCACCTTGAACATGCCAAGGATGTGAGAGAACCCCTCAGGGGGCAGCAGTTGGTGATGAGGGGAATTGAGGAAAGACCAGGCTGGTGTTGAGGTAGAACCTGCCAAGGGTTAAGTGGCAGGTGGACAAAGCACAGACAGGGAACACCTGGTTGTCCCAAGAGTTCTCCAGCTTCCCTGCCTGTTGTGGTTCTGTTTGCACCTCCAGGGCTGCCCCTGGATCCCTGGAATTGTCCAAGGCCATGTTGGACAGGGCTTGGAGCAACCTGGGCTAGTGGAAGGTGTCTCTGCCCGTGGCAGGGGGTGGAACAAGATCTTTTTAAGGTCCCTTCCAGTCCAAACCATTCCATGATTCTCTTATATTATTAACAGATTCTGGGATGAAATGACCCATCAGAGCTTGAACAGTATCTTCCAAAATATCCAGGTGTTTTCATCCCATCAGGGCCTTGAGCTTCCCACAGGTTTCTGGGGGAGTGAGGTCCACAAAGGAGGCAGGTCTGTGGATCTGGAACCAGATAATCTGTTGTGGATTCAGGTCTTGGATGGGTTTGCTGGAGCTGAGCCCATCCCCTGGATTTCTCTGCTGCTTTGTCCCTCTGAGGTCTGTGAGTCCCTTGAGTTTAAAAAAGATCCCTGAAAACATTTCATCCCGCTTCTTCCTCTGCAAAAACATGTCTTTGGATCCTC